ATTTCTAATATCTATCAAAGAGTCAGATGATGTAGTAAACTGTAAGTTAGTTTATCATGAGAAATTTAAAGGCCAACTGACAACAGTCAAGGAATGCAACAACCAAAATGTTCTTTCAGAGTAAAAAAAAAACACATTTGACGGTTTTTGACATTAATTATATACTACTTACAAATCCATCTCCTTTTCCTTTAATCCTACCCGGCAAAGATGTGAAAGTAGTGACAAAAACAAGCTTTTCAGCACTTGATGGGTAACTGAAAACAGAGCATGTACAATATTAAAACACTTATCTGACAGGGCAAACACCACTGAGTAAAATTCAGTGTGGTCGAATATTTTTTTGAATTTATATACTTACAATTCACCCTTCTCCACCAAGTGACTGACACAAACTTTGACAAGCAGTCTCCTGGACTTGAAATGATCCTGTGTTCCTGTGTTCCTCGGGTAACTTAACACTGCTGCTTTGCTTTGAAGTAGAGAGTGCAGGCCTCCCTGATCATTTGGCACTGGAACATGCTACATTACATGACATGATGGCCGTGAGTTTGACCTTTTAAACGCTATTATGCACATAATAATCACATATAGCAGAGGGATGAGAACAAAAACAAAACACCTGGATTAATGTTACCTCTCCAGCATTCGTTTGTTGTAGGGCTCCTGTGATTGAGGTAAAGACTTGAAATCGGTCAAAATTCTTCACTTCTGTCAACATCCGCAAATTCGTGAAGATAAGGCTCAGTGTTACTCACACCGTAGAGTAATGCGAAGAGAAGAAACAACATTCACGCCGTGTCACCCGCATCAAACAGCACAAGCACTGCGAACGCACCTGATGCAGCGAAGCAAACGCTCCACGTTAAATTGTTCACTTAGAATCCTCTTTTAGGTGTTTATCAAATGATCTGGTGTAGTGCACGTCGCCACTTTCCAACTAATTAATAATGTATTTGGTAGCTGTTAGAAAACACTCTCTGTCTGTATTGGTTCCAGATGTTTTCACCCTCCTTTTCTTGTCTCTCCCTCTCTGCCTGCCCTCCCTGTACAGAGCAATGGTGTCTTCTCTCTGATTCCCCCTCCTCCATCTGATCTCTCTCTCTTGTATTATGTTTTAATATCTCTTACTCATATTCGAGGTACGCATGCGCACATGTATGCATTAGCTTTTCTTAGTTCAAATGTTCAAACGAGGACACGATAGCTAGGACTCCAAGGTAATGGGGTTCATGCTGAACTATGGATATAGATCATCATCCTTCGCCAAGTTTATTCCTAATATGTCCATATTTTTCTGTACATGTGGTTATGAAATATATTTATTGTATTTATTTCCATAAGCACAAAGTGACGGCCCAGGAGAGAACACATTTATTGTGTCAATCTGTCCAAAGGCTTTTTTTTTTTAAATTACACATTGTGTGTTCATATCCTACACAACATGTGTCAGAATGCTGTCAACACAACCATGTGTGTTGTTTTTGACACATCTGTTTTTGCAGTGTAGGCTAGATATTTAATTCTTCTTTGCTTAGTGATTGTTCACTGATCATCGTAAAATAATCTTTTATCTTAGAATTAGGTTCTCAATGATAATGTGGACAAGACAAAAAATATGCATCATATGTATATAGAATTTTATTTTATATATATATATATATATA